CTGCTTGCGATGAATGTGTCACTAAAGCAGGGTTTCTCAAAGTGTGGGGCGCGCCCCACTGGTGGGGCACAGAGATGTGATAGGTGGGTCGCGAATGGATGCGATTAATGGGAGATTTCCCCGATCACGTGATCGGATCGGGACATCTCTAATTACTATTGCAATATGATTCACCATATTGTACAAATGATCATGCCTCCATTGGACTCCTTTGTTTTACTTCTGTAACATAGTGACATCACAATGTAACACTCACGCTTCTATTGGCTAGCGCTCCAACACATTGTACTTAATAGGCTAAGGGGCGGGACAGCTCGGCCAGCAAACCAATCAGAGCAGACTGGGCTCTGGTTTCAGACAGAGGGTGAAAAGAGGTGCTGCACAGGCAGTATGCGAAAAATAAAGAGCTTTTTAAACATTAAAGTTTAGGCACATCATGTCACAAAATACAAATATATGTACATGAAAATGGGCATTTGATAAGAAATCAAAAAGAAGTACCAACATGTGAAACTCAATGTGAAGTTTCTGGTCTACCTCTGCCATGAGTTTGAGTTAGTGTGTGACTTTGGTGAATCCAGACTAACCTTTTGATACACCATAGTCACACAATAACTGTCTCTATGGCAAAGCAAAGAGGTCCACATAATCTATATATATAGCTGACACCTAAACTGATATTGATTTTTAGGTGGAAAATAAATGTGCTGCTGCCTCTTTCCAAAGCAGCACATTGCTCAGCTGCTGTTCTGGTTCTTCTGTTCCTCTAAACTGGATCATGCCAACATCTACTGTATATGGACTGGATGCAAGTGACTGAAACAACCCCACCTCAAAAGATCTGAATGATCCCTTCAAGGAGCTCCTGTACTTTACATCCTTTGTTTGTGTGTGTTTCATCTCACTCAAATCTGATAATATCACACCCTTTTAGTACAGTTTCTCACATGTGGGTGTGTTATCTGGAACTGCACATTGTTAAAGGTAGAAAAGAAGGCCACTGAATAGATTCTTGTCAGAGTGACTCAGCAGTTTTTTTCTTTTGCAGGAAGATTTTGTCCTGTATTTTTCTTTCATCCCTCTCCTCTTTTCTCATTCTCCTGTTTCTCTTTAGCTTTGCTCCTCTTCTTGTGTCTTTTTAATAAATCATTCTGGGTGAGACTATGGAGGTTTTCATCATTTGTTTTTCTGAAATGACCTCAGAGGCTGTTTCCTCTTCTCTCTCAGCTAGATGTCCCGATGCTGTCCTCTCCCCCCTTTCTCTCTCTATCAGATAGTCTCTCCGGTGAGTCCTGGCTGCTATCGATCCCAGGCAGTTTGACTCTCACACAATTTCCTCCACATGGGCCCATTTATGAGTTGACTCGCACCTCTATTACTCTCTTCCACAAATGTTGAAGTTCTCTATCCCTCTGTCTCTCAGTTACCATGAAGCAAGTGGCCCGCACCGTGGCCAAGGTGGAGCTGTCGGACCACGTGTGTGACGTGGTGTTCGCTCTGTTCGACTGCGACGGTAAGCACCGACTAACTATGGAGAGCAAATAATATTTTAAAGGTCCCCTATTACACTGTTTTTCATCAATATATTATAGGTCTCAGATATCAACAAAACATGTCTCTGAAGTGTTTGGCTCCAAATACCAAACGGGTCGTGCCTTGTAGCATCCCATAATCCCCTCTGTTTCAGTCCTGTTTCAAAAGTGCTGATTCTCTGTCTGTTACTTTAGATGAAAATAAGGAGCCTCTCCCCACACCCCTCTGAGAGATATTTGGTTGAAAAGAACACAATGGTGCTCTAGGAGGAGATACAGGTGATAAGGTGTGGGGGTTACCTTGGTTGGTTATTGGCTAATGGTTACACAAGCCCAAAAAATTGTTATGACATCATAAAGTGGCCAAAATCTGATCAGCTCATTTTCAGACAGGTTTTTATATAAATGGATCAGGACAAAGAGAGAGAATCTTTTTTCCTGAAACTTTCAGAATCTCTTTACACAGAGGGGACACATGTTTATGTATAAAAGACATGAAAAAGTGGATTTTGCATAATAGGTGACCTTTAACTGACGGGAGGCAATCATTAACAAATGGAAGTGTTCTTCTCCTCCTCTTATGTACTCTTCGTCTATTATTTCATCATCTGTCCTCTGTCATACCCTCTCCCTCCCGCCTCCTTGTCTGTCTCCCTCAGGGAACGGAGAGCTGAGTAATAGGGAGTTCATCGCCATTATGAAGCAGCGGCTAATGCGTGGGCTGGAGAAACCCAAGGACATGGGCTTCACCCGGCTGGTGCGTGCCATGTGGAAGTGTGCCCAAGACACCGCCTGGGACTTTGCCGTACCAAAGTGAATAAAGAGACGGAGGGCTAAGTGTGCGCAGGAGATGGACGGCGTGTGAATAAACAACAACACCAGTAGCACCAACAGATCTCCATGATATAAACACATGAATGCAATGAACTCATTAGGACTGCAGAGGGGCTTCATCCACCGTAAACGCATGTCGCTGTAGTTCAAAATATCAATAAGGTGACTGAAGCATGCTGACTCAGCGCACCGTTTCCTGAAAACGCTTCTCTAGCATGCCTGTCCAAGGCATCATGGGTATGTTTTAAAATATACAAGGTTTGTACGTTTATTTTTGCCATATTCTATTTAGAGGAATGCAGTGTCAGCAGGTAACTGTTGAGTCAAACGCTAAAAACAGCACTTTTATATCTGCATTCAACACGTTTTACTGAAGAAACAGACAGGAAGTGGAATTCAACTTCAGCTGTATAAATGCGGCAGTATGTCCATTCTATACCAAAAACAGACCCTTAGTTATTTCTTTGCTGGGGCAGAGGTCAGTGATCTTGTTAGCATCTCTTCATTCAGTCTGCTAGCTCCAGCTGCATCTTCATTCTGTCCCATAAAAGATCAATAATGCTCATCCTGCTCTACAATGTACTGTTCAAAGTGTGTACTTTTAATTATTATTTCCCACTGAAACACTTTCTATGAGATGGATGTTAAAAGAAATGCTATATTAAAGATGTTTTTAATAATGAAGAAGTGATTAAGCTTTATTTATGAGCGTTCTGCTTAAGTTGGATTGTTGTCATGCCATGTTCTCATTTCACACTTCGACTTGGAGAAAAGAGCAACGGGGGATTAGCGTGAATAAACTACGGGGCACAAAGGAAGTCATTTGTCATGTAATGAAATTAAGTGTAACGTTTTGAGGCACATTTTGTATGGCTGATTGTATGCAGTGGCTTTAAGTGTGTGCCAGAGGGAGACAAATATGCTAATGTGTGTGCAACAGTGGTCAGCAGTTTTGTCTAATTGAAATGGACAGGATGGGCAGTCCTCGGCCTCTGATGCCCATTAAAGGATTGTCCTGCAGCCGCTCAGCACACACTGCTGCAGAGGCCTGAGAGGAGCTGTTGGCTCCTGCACACAGAAGTGCTACTAGGAATGATTGCAAGGCAGGAGATTTGATTGAGTTTCCTATCATCAGCACTCCTTAGCCGTGCTCTTTTCTGAGCATAAGTCTGGTGATGGATTGTTAAAAGATTTTTAACAGAACAGTCTCACTTTCAACTTTTCAACAGTCACCTTTAAACCTTTAAACTTTAGTCCCGCAGTGGCTCAGTCAGTAGGGGCTTAGACTGGGAGCTGTAGGGTCGCCGGTTAGAGTTCCCGACCAGACCTAACAAATATGGAGTGTGGACTGCTACTTGGAGAGGTCCCAGTTCACCTCCTGCCCTGCCGTGGTGCCCTTGAGCAAGGCACCGGACACCCCCACCCCCCTCACTCCCATTGCTCCCCGGGCGCTGTACACTAGCTGCCCACTGCTCCTAGTACTAGACTCCTGGTACTAGGATGGGTTGAAAGCAGAGAAAAAAATGACGGCTCCGCCCACTTTTGGGGGAAAACAAAGCTGTCATTTAAACGGCGGTCATTTCAAATTCTGAAGTTTTTACCAATCCGATCGAAATGTAAGAAAACCGTGGATTTTCTNAAAACTGCACGTTTCAGAGTGGCCTTTTATTGTGGCCAGCCTAAGGCACAACTGTGCAATAATCATGCTGTCTAATCAGCATCTTGATATGCCACACCTGTGAGGTGGGATGGATTATCTCGGCAAAGGAGAAGTGCTCACTATCTCAGATTTGTGAACAATATTTGAGAGAAATGGTTATTTTGTGTATATAGAAAATGTTTTAGATCTTTGAGTTCATCTCATGAAAAATGGGAGCAAAAACAAAAGTGTTGCATTTATATTTTTGTTCAGTGTAATATGAAGCAGCTGGACCCAGTGATTGTACCGTGACTATACAAAATATTGATAAATGTCCTCAATTAAAGATCATTCATATTATTCCAGCACTGACGTTTCTTCAGCTTTAAACCCCTAAAGGCTCCTGTATCTTGTAGTGTAAATCCCATCATGCTGCAAGCAACATGGCCTCTAACTGCTTGCAGTCTGCCATCAACAGTTCTCCACTCAAGAGTTGCCCAATAACAGCTGTACAGTAGCCGCAGCACCCCCCAACCCCCTCTCAACAGCTCAGCCGTGTAAACCCCGAGCACACATGCTGTCAAGTTTCCCTGCTTGGTGTGCACTGAAGCAACGCCCAACGGTGAACTGTTGTCAGGCTGAGGGGAGGGGGCTATATTTGGAGTGACTGCAGACCTCCCTCCTTAGTCAACAGCGCTTCATGTGTTGGCACAGAAGTGTACACAACATTTCCTTAGTGTAGATTCATAAACTGCATGCACAATCCATGTGCTGTTTAGGAATAAGGCTTTTTCTCTTTGCGCTGAATGCTGCAAGTGTTTCCTTCATAAGGCTATATGTCATGGTTTATAACTAAATGCAAAGATAAAAATATATTTAGTATGATTGCAATATGAGAACAGTGTAACCAGTCAGCCTAATCTAATCATTTGTCCTGCTTCTCCATCAAGAAAAAGGATGGCAATATTGGTAATTTATTGTGCTAAAACTTGAGGTATCTTATGATCCAGCCTAGTGCTAGTAGTATTCATTCAAAGCAAGAGACTGACTTTTCTCTCAAGGCATTGTATGGATAAAGTTCTTAGTTGATGGGCACTTACAGCTGTAAGACTGGTCGTGCACTAAATGGAAGGCTAATGGTCGAGAATATTTATAATTCCCGATGAGCAGGTGGAGCCTTGCCTCCCAATTGTTTGGAGTATCCCTTTCTGTCCTATGGCAAGGGATAAGGTGTCGGTTCACACACTGTACATTGAGTTTCCCATTTTCAACTGGAGCAAAGAAATACTTGACTGCCATCTAGTGGTTTTCCTTGACACTTAAACAGTTGATGCCTGTGAATATGAAAAATGTTTGTAACTAAATGGACACAGCAGCTTATTTGTAGACACCCAGCAACAACATTATCCCCGTTATGTGTCCATAAACCACAGCTCCGTGAGAAACTGAGGACAAATTACTCTAACAATTGTAGGGAAGATTAAAAAATAAAAAAGTGTAAAACCTATCACACCAACATTTGAGCTATTAGGTCTTTAATTACAGCTACATCCATTAATAAAAAAAAGAGGTTCTCAAAATTCCCTACAGGTTTACACAGTCAATTCCAATCATTGAAAAAAACATGGCTCTCGGTTACATTGACTAATAAAACATTCGATACCACTAACAGATTAGAGCAACATGTATGTATCCCAACATCAGAAGAAATCATAGTTTCAAAGCAAAATGGCTTAAGAAAAAGAATGAAATTGACAGTCTAAGTTCATCAACATTGAAATGGAATAAAACTTAATAAATACACAGTATAAAACTCAGTTTTACTTTCCAAAAGATTAGGTAATGTTAAGTGAAAAAAAAAAGAAATGGCCAAAAAGAAATGTTGACAAACAACCAAACAAACTTCAAGAAACCATGTGATCCGTTATCATTATCAACCTTGTTTCAACATACAAGAACCTGTTGGGATGTATGGCTGTCAATCATACATAGAAAAATGAAAGTACAGGTTAACATCAAAACAAACTGAAAAAGGGGGCCCAATACACACATTGGCGTTTACCATTAACAGGTGGCCTGCAGCCACCTAGTGGCTATAAGTGATGATATCACATGGGTGTCAACCTTAAGCAGTACAGCGAAGGGCAGCTGACGGAAAGTGAGCGCTGGCTCAGCTCTACGGCTCACTTCCTGTCAGTGTGCTGCTGGGTAGTGATGACAGAGGGACGGGTAACAAGGGGGGGGGGTGGGGGGAAGCGATCATCAGACAGTCCTGATCGTACAGTGAAGTTCAAAGAGCCGTCCTTATTCACTGTCAAACTTAATAGAGTTGACGGAGGTGGAGTTGATGGCTCCGCCGCGGTAGCTCCCCCTCTTCTTCTTTGTCTTTTCATGGCGGAATGACTTGCCCTTTGTGAACCTGAGCGTGTCGTTGGCTTTCTGGCCCCAGTCCCCGTTTGATCCGAACTGGAAAAGCAAAGACAGATGATTAAGAGTGAATGATCAGCACAGCCATTTCAGTGATGCAGTTTTAAAATTGCTCATCCCCGTAACTGAACTCACCTTTGCATCAAAAGAATTGTCTTGGAGACGGGGATCCACCGCTACTTCTTCCTCTCTTATTCTACGGAAGGGTACATTGGACGACTGGGAAACACAACACATTTCCATCAAATCATGAACTATTATTACACCTTTTTCCCCTTTAAGAAACCATGCTCAACACCAAGTTCTAGTCTCTGACTGGCCTTACCTTCTTATTGGCTTTAGGAAACGTCTGAGGTGTGGTTGTTGCCATCTTGTTTTTTGGTGTAGTCACTTCCGTCTCTTCCTCGTCGCTCTCCGATGACTCTTCACCTTTTTTTCTGTTTCCTGCAGGGGGGGGGGGATGTTTAACTTTGAGTAATCCAGGATGAAGTTGACACTGCATTACATTTCATACTCTGTATTTGTCTGCGACTCACCATTTGTTGTGGGGGTGGTGGGTGCAGTGGCTGCTCTGCGTGGTGCATCCTCCTCTGATGAACTGTCTGAGGAGCTGCTCTCTTTAGCTTTAGCAGCCGGGATCGTCTTGGGTGTTGCTGCAGGTGTAGCAGGTTTTACAGAACTTTTACTGGCCTCTTCTTCCTCTTCGGAGCTGCTGTCACTGGACGATGACTCTGCAGGCTTTGCTGGAGTCTTGGGTGTAGCTGCCTTGGGTGTAGCTGCCTTGGGTGTAGCTGCCTTGGGTGTAGCTGCCTTGGGTGTAGCTGCCTTGCCATTGGTGACTGGAGGCTTGGCAGGGGTGGTCTTTGTCTCAGTCTCTGAATCGGAGCTGTCGGAGCTGCTCTCAGCCTTCTTTTTTGAAGCTTTGGGCGTACTAGCAGGGGCTGCTGCTGCAGGAGTTGGTTTCTTGACTGCAGGTTTGGCTGCTTCATCCTCAGAGTCACTGTCGGAGTCAGAGCTGCTCTCTGCTGCTGCCGTTGGCTTTGCAGCGGGGGTAGTTGGTTTAGCCTTAGCTGATGTAGCTGGCTTAGCCTTAGCGGGCTCTTCATCTTCAGAAGAAGACTCAGAGCTGCTCTCTGCTGCAGCTGCCTTTGCTGCGGGGGTAGCAGGCTTTGAAGCAGGGGTAGCTGGCTTTGCGGCTGGTTTAGCCTTAGCTGGTTCTTCATCTTCAGAAGAAGACTCAGAGCTGCTTTCTGCAGCAGCAGCTAGCTTTGCTACAGGCGTGGCCGGCTTAGCCTTAGCAGGCGTGGCCGGCTTAGCCTTAGCTGGTGTAGCCGGCTTAGCCTTAGCTGGTGTAGCCGGCTTAGCCTTAGCTGGTGTAGCCGGCTTAGCGGGCTCTTCATCTTCAGAAGAAGACTCAGAGCTGCTTTCCGCAGCAGCAGCTAGCTTTGCTACAGGCGTGGCTGGTTTAGCCTTAGATGGTGTAGCTGGTTTAGCCTTAGCTGGTGTAGCTGGTTTAGCCTTAGCTGGCTCTTCATCTTCAGAAGAAGAGTCAGAGCTGCTTTCCGCTGCAGCAGCTAGCTTTGCTACAGGCGTGGCTGGTTTAGCCTTAGCTGGTGTAGCTGGCTTAGCGGGCTCTTCATCTTCAGAAGAAGAGTCGGAGCTGCTCTCTGCTGCAGGGGTAGCAGGCTTTGAGGCGGGTGTAGCAGGCTTAGCCGCTGCAGGTTTAGCCTTAGCTGGTTCTTCATCTTCAGAAGAAGACTCAGAGCTGCTCTCTGCTGCAACAGCCGGCTTTGCTGCAGGCGTAGCAGGCTTTGCAGCTGGTTTAGCTGCTGCAGGTTTAGCCTTGGCTGGTTCTTCATCTTCAGAAGAAGAGTCAGAGCTGCTCTCTGCTGCAGGCTTTGAAGCTGGGGTAGCTGGCTTAGCTTTAGCTAGCTTAGCTTTAGCTGGCTCTTCCTCAGAGGAGGAGTCTGAGCTGCTCTCTGCAGCAGCAGCAGGCTTTGAAGCTGGGGTAGCTAGCTTAGCTTTAGCTGGCTTAGCTTTAGCTGGCTCTTCATCAGAGGAGGAGTCTGAGTCTGAGCTGCTCTCTGCAGCAGTAGCAGGCTTTGCAGCAGGCTTTGCAGCCGGGGTAGCAGGCTTAGCTTTCACTGTTTTTTCATCCTCAGAGGAGTCATCTGAATCAGAGCTGCTCTCAGCTGCCTTGGGGGGGGCTTTGGAAGCTACAGCAGCAGGTTTTGGTTTGGCTGCAGCTTTAGCAGCAGGTTTGGCTGGAGCCTCATCTTCAGAGCTGCTGTCTGGAAAAACAAATACATTACTTTAACATCAGATAGACACAAATGTAGTCACTTGATCATTGCACACACAGCTAAAACGTTGACTGTATATTACAACAGTCCTGCAGCAAATCCTGGCCTGATGTCAAGTAAACAAGTTTCAACATAAACTAAATATTATCCTCAACAAAGATACACTGCCTTAGTTGCAGCAAGGTGAACCTAACAAACTGACAACCGTGTATGTAACAAAACTGGGGAGAGTTTATATATTATGTATAACTGACAGTTCTCATGATGGAATTTAGTTTGATCCCTCCACAAACTGGTAGCACTGGCAACACAGTTTAAGTAAATGAAAGCAAATTCAAGACAGAAGATAAACAACTTTGACAGAGATACAGAGCTCACACCGTCAACCTGTCTCTTACCTGAACTGGACTCCTCTTTTTTAGCTGGGGGAGTCTTGGCTGGTGCAGGTTTAGCTGCTGGCTTCTTTGCAGGAATCGCCTTTGCTGCAGGTTTTTTGGCCTCCTCTTCCTCCTCTGAACTGGAATCGTCCTCTGAACTGGAGTCTTTTTTAGCAGGCGTGACTTTAGCTGCAACAGGTTTAGCTGGAGCAGCCTTTGCAGGAGTCACCTTTGCTGCAGGTTTTTTGGCCTCCTCTTCTTCCTCTGAACTGGATGAGTCTGAGTCTTTAGCGGGAGCAGCCTTGACTGGGGCAGCTTTAGCTGGGGTGACTTTCACAGCAGGCTTTTTTGCCTCCTCTTCATCTGAGCTTGAATCTTGAAAAACATGGGCATGGAGAGGAAGATTTGTTACATTTGGCATCAAACAACACAAAGTAGAAAATGACAGTGGGATTGTAATTGTTACCTGAGCTGGACTCCTTCGACGCTGGTTTTGCAGCGGGGGTCTTTACCGGTGCAGGCTTTGCTGTTAGGATAAAAACGCTATTAGATGTGTCATTTCTAAAATCACTACTTCAAGTTGGGAAAATTGGGTGAATCTTACCAGCTACTTTCTTCTCTTCTTCCTCGTCACTGCTGCTGCTTGAGGAGCTGTCCTTGGCCTTGCTGGCTGCTGGTGCAGCTGGAGACTTGGTCACTGAAGCGGGAGCTTTCTGGACTGAAGCTGGCGGTGGGACTGCACTGTACGCTCCTACCAAGGCAAAGCAAACTAATCAGCCTCATAACACGGGGCCTATGTACAATACTTTAAGCACTTAGGTTTAGGTGACATACTGCAAAAGAGGGACTGTAGTGTTAATAATAATAATAATAATAGAATTGGGAGGGATGAAACCCTCTTTAAATGGTCACACATGTAGAGCACACAGCACACAGTGAAAGTTGGCCTCTGCATTTAACCCATCCTAGTACTTGGAGTCTAGTACTAGGAGCAGTGGGCAGCTATTGTACAGCGCCCGGGGAGCAATGGGAGTGAGGGGGGAAGGGGGTTGTCCGGTGCCTTGCTCAAGGGCACCACAGCAGGGCAGGAGGTGAACAGGGACCTCCAAGTAGCAGTCCACACTCCATTTTTAGGTCTGGTCGGCGACTTGAACCGGCGACCCTACGGTTCACAGTCCAATCCCCTACTGGCTGAGCCACTGCGTTACTCCAAGATAGGTGCTAGCAATTTTAAGTTTTTTTAATCAGATTATGTAAGGCTAAAAGATGACAGACAGACTAACTATCATGTCAAATAAAACGTAAGTTAATATAACTACCTTTCGTTTGATTGGAGTAACAGAACCATGATAACAAAAGAAAGGCGCCGCTCAGAAAGGCCAACTCATTTCAAGTGCAATCAAACCTCTCTGTGTTTATTGGTTTGCATAGCACCAAACAAGTTTTATAACTTCACATTGGCTGGCTTTTATAATGGAGTGAAAATAAAAACCCACCTGCTTTGGGTTTCTTGCTGGGTGGAGCCTCATCTTCAGATGAAGAGTCTTCACTGCTTGATTCAGCAGCAGCTGCTTTCACAGGGGCCGCTTTGGCTGGAGCCGGTTTAGCTGGAGCCTATCGGACATGTGAAGTAAGTAATGTGTGTAAAATGTACTTTACTACAATAACTTTTTCTATTTGTTTCTAAGTTTTGGAAGAAAGATATGTACATATGGGCAGTATCTTTTACATACCTTGGTTGGTTTATCATCTTCTGAATCTGATGAACTGTCTTCGCTGCTGCTATCCTTTTTTTTCTGAGCTGCAGCTTTAGCAGGAGCAGCTGGTTTGGCTGCTGTGACTGTAACACCCTTGGCTTCTATTAAAGGTTAATAACATAAATTAGATACAACACATTTCATTATAATCATCTCAAAATAAATTCACTATATTAAATGACATCTTGCTCTAGACTCACTAGCTGGGGCTTTAGCAGGCTGCTCAACCTCAGAGTCAGATTCTTCACTGCTGGAGCTGCTGTCTTTCTTCCTTCCTGCAGCAGGGGCAGCAGGCGCCTTCACAGGAGCCTACATGCGGAATATTCATTTTAATAATAGCATAACCACCAGACATGGCTTTCAACACTGGCAAGATCTTTTATGAAACTATAATTTGAATTATTCTTCCTACCTTTGCAGGAGCCTTGGCTGGGGCCTTTGCAGGGGCCTTCTCCTCCTCAGAGTCACTGGAGTCTTCACTGCTGCTGGATGCCGCTTTAGTAGCTGCTGCTGCTGGTGCTTTAGCAGGCACCACCTTAGCTGCTAAAACAAACATTACATAGATATGTTACACACATATATAACCGGATCATAAATGTTACCGACCTATTTAAACCATCGTAATCAGTTTTCTGCATCAAAACATTGATTTTACCTGCAGGGGCTGCCTTGGTTGGTTTTGCAACCGCTGCTTCATCGTCGCTGCTGCTGCTGCTTGAGTCTTCACTGCTGGAGCTCGCTGCACTGGTTTTTGCCTTCTTGGCTGATGGACTTGTTTTAGATTCAGCTTTGCTGGAGGGCGCCTTTCGTTTCTTGGCTTCAGGAGACCTAGGAAGACACATGGGTATATTAAAAAGGGAACAGCAACCTCAAAAATTATTAAGTCATTTATTGTATACATTTCTCCTATATCTGAAGACATTAGCGACAAAGCATATTTATCTCAACTACAGAGACAAATCCTGTAGCTGCCGCTTAGAGAGTGAACCCTAAGAGATAATAAGAGCAGAAATTGTTCTTAAAGTGAATATTTACAGGAAAAATGCATATTATTTAGCATCACTTGTATAAATCCCAAATTCAAGGGATAGCAGATCCACTTTAACCTAATAATGCACTATTCTGCTGCTAAGGCAAACAGACTATTTTTGCAAATACTTGCTTTCCACTGAAAGAATTGTTTTAAATCACGTTTAAGTCTGATAAAGGGTAGATTTTGTTTGTTTAAGAGATAGATTAGACAATGCATAGGTGAACAGTGACTGCAAATGATAGGTGCAATGAGAACCCAATAAAAAGGCTTGGCCATATCTTAAAAGTGTATTAATATCAGTATGTACTAAACAAGTTTTAGTGCTGACTCAATAACAAACAAAACAAAAAAACAACTCACTTCACCCAGAAGTCGTAGATGCCGATGAGGCTCTCATCATTTTCATCTTGTGGAGTCTGTAAAGAAACACGTGAAGCACTCAATTAGCCATTTACAGTTCTAAAGTTTCACAAATTCGCAATCAAATACATGTTCCTGCAATGCAACACAATATAATGCCAATTAAAATATTATGAGCTTTTAAAACGAATGGCAACCAAAGAACAAAGTGTGCCTGTACTCCTACACGTGCTACCTTTCCTAATGGGTGTACGGCCCCTCAACGTTACATGGCTGTACATGTACTCCTCGTGCAGCATGTCTCAACTTCACCACAACGCTAGAGACAGACAGCGCGAGGCACAGATTAGCAACAACACATTGAGCCGCTTACCACTTTAGTCTCTTTCATAAACTCCTGAGCCGCCTTGGTTAACATGTTCTCCGCCAGAAAGGAATATACGCATTTGTAAAGATCGCTCGGCTTCGACTTTTGCTCCGCCATCTTCACCACGCTCTTTTCTGGAAGGAATTAAAGTGAGCGGAAGCGTCAATTGTGCGCATGCGCCTCACGATATGGCATGTTCCTCTCGAACTTTTGTTGATTTTGAAAATATGTTTTTATTGAAAATGTATTTGTTGAGTTGTAGTTTATATGTGTAACCCCTGTAATGTTATACACTCGCATTTCCCCTCTGTCATTTATATATTTCTAGCCATGCTTTTATCAACATAGGCGCACACGTTATACGTCATCGCCAAAACCGTTTCCTGTCCCTCGTGTCATCATAACATGGTCGCCTTTGAACTGAGTTTTCTGGCAATGACACCAACCCAGCAGATTTAAAACTGTGAATCGAGGAATTATTTGCCGGAACCATGCCACGCTACGAGCTCGCGCTGATCCTGAAGGCGATGCAGCGGCCCGGGACATCGGCTGCTCTCCGGCGGACAGTGGAGACTCTGATGGAGCGGGGCGCCGTGGTCAGGGACCTTGAGAACCTGGGGGAAAGACTCTTGCCCTACAAGATCAACAAACACAACCAGAACCACCTCAGAGGATCTTACTTTTTGATCGATTTCTACTCAGCCCCTAACATCCTCACTAGTTTACTGGATCACCTGCACCGTGACGTGGACGTGGTGAGGCCCACTGTGCTGAAGAAGGACGACCAGGTTTCCAGCAGTAACTGCTGTGGGTCTTAGCTGTGATTCAATGTAAGGAATGGCTAAAGTGGGTAAAGCCAAGTTTATCAGTATTACTAACGTTATGTGTTTATAAATTAAACCTACAGCTGTGGAGTGACATCATTGTGAGTATCTTGTGTGCACATTTAACTCTTCTATGGCTTTATGGCTACAATTATATAAATGTCCTTTTTGTCAATCTGCTTAAACAATCAGTAATTAATTGTATTCAATAAAATAACAACATTGACATATACCAAACATCACAGGTTATGATGGAGGTTAACATGATGGCTAACAAAAAAGCTACACCTTAAGTCATAATTAAATCTATCTAGTAGATAAAACTTAGAAAAACATCAAACACATTACATTTGCGAAGCTGTGACATTCAATCTTTTTATTTTTTCGCATGAATAAATTGTTGAATATGAAAGAGTAAGGGGACTTCTTGAGTATTCCATCAATGGACTCGGCAATAGTTGACTCATCATTTCAGTACCTCCTTGTTTTAAAAGAGACAATGGATATCAAGGGCCTAAAACCATGTGTGTAGGCCTACACTTTAAAAAGTCTGGTCATTATTTTGAATTTTGGAGACACTCGACTTACTATGGGTATGGAGATACATAAACATTCTGTAACATATTGTAGTCATGTGATTTTTATCAACTCAAAAAGTGTATTTCATCTAAATAAATCTAAAAATGTTCAAGTGTTAAAAGGGGATTAAGTTGTTCTTTAAAATGGCTTGAAGTTAGTAAACAAAGGTGCAGAAAGTCATAGATAAATCATTGCACAATCATGTCTTGTCTGCTTTTTCATATAACTAATAGAAAGTACTGATCGACCGTAAAACGGAACCGTTTATGCAGGCCTCTCCTTTACCTGCTGTTTATGGAGATCATGTTGTGCTGACTGTGCTGAAACGTATAGCCCTATTAAACTGTTGTTCCCTTTTCGTTCCCAGGTTTCCCGGAAGATTTACAGTGTGATCCTCCCCTCTCTGATGTTTTCCTTGGGTGTTGACCTACATTTGGATGTTATGTCATAATAAACCTCTTTTTGCTATCTTAAGTTAGTCTTATTTGTTCTTCCATATTAAACGTGTGCAATGCATGTGGTGTAGTCTTTATCATGTTTAGCAGTTTCAGTACCTATTTTAAATTACAGTTTGATGTGGTTTATGTATTTCGGAAGTTGTCGTGTAGCCATTGAAACTTGAACTTAGCCCTCTAGGAAAACACAAATAATAAACAATTATTACACTTTCACTGATCCTCCAAACATAAGTGAGTTGTCCTCAATTGGAAAAACAACCCCAACCCCACACCTTTTTTAAAGAGATAAAGCTCTTAAAAGGAGGTTACAATGCTCATATATCTTTGTTTGTTACCTTGAATGACATTTTAAATTCCCACTTCGCTTTTCTGGGCCCAATCCCACAGAAATCACTCTATGTACTCAAACTAGGGACATTTAAAACATTTTAATTCTGTAGGGAAAAAAAAGTTTTTTAATTTAGTTTTCTTAAAAAATGTCTCTCTATTTAGATAATGTGATCAATTAATAAACCACCTTTGGTACTTCTCTTATGCAAAGTAAAACCCTTAATTTTTAGTGCAGAAACATAGAATTTTATTTTTTTTAAATTAAAGAACCAAGAGGATTGCTCCAAACGGCACTAACCACTATATAATTATTTAAAAAATATCCCTTGTTTCACGTGCCTTGTATATTATGTGTGTTTGAATGTATGTCATATAAGGATCCCAGATTAGATCATCAATCAGACAGGCGGGCAGTCACATGACTCTCTGAGCAGTCAGCTGACAGTGAGACATCATAAAGGCAGCAACAGCCCAGCGCCTGCAGTGCGTTGCAGTCCTCTCAACTATACAGCACACACAGAGAAACGAAGACAGACGAGACGGAAAACAGCGGAGTCATGCTGTTCCTAACTCTACTTTTTGTGGCTTCAGGTAATAAACATGCAACAGAAACAATAATGGTGTTTGTGAGTAAATTAAATGATTCAGACAGCATTCCGTTGCCGTTAAAGTCTCATTGTGTAACCTCGAAAGTGCGTTTCGTTTCAACCTAAAGGCGGAAGCGTTACAAACAAACAACGTTTGCTTTGATTAACAGTAACAACCATGCTAGCGGTTACTTTACAGCAAACACGTTTAAATAATGTTTTTACTGTTTACATGCATTTGCCACATTAAACCCATTTTCTAAATCTGTAATCCTCTTGTCATTACCGTTTCACTCGTGTTGAAGGCGTTATTGTTGGCCCGCTTGGCTAGCATTAGCTTATTAGCTAATGCTACTTCGCTAGCTATTTGAATGATGCCTCAACAATAAGTTATTTGCCACATATTTAGCCTGTTTAATACTCTTAAATAAGTATTGTTGTAGCTTATGTAGGAAGATCACCACGAGGTTACCTTTTTACGCATTTAGCTAGCAGGTTTAAGGTTTTTTGCATGGTGTTTATGTCGGCATGGTCATTATTTTCTAATTTAAAATATATTTATCAGTCCGTGCTGATCGGCCCTAACTTGCTTGCTTTAGCCATTTATGTACTGTAATTGGTGCTTTTTTGGACCTTAGTTTGGCTTTATAAGGAAGTTCAGTTAAGTTCCTCTTAACCAGCGACTTTCGTTTCAGCTTTTTAGTAGAAGATCAGGCTAAAAAAAATGTTATAGACTTTCTCGTTTTTTGTTACCCACGATTAGTTATACGTCACCGTTGTCATGTATATTTGTGCCACTAAAAACGTCGATACTTATCTTGTTGTTCAGACAAAAACGTATCGGTGAAATCAACAGCTCAGGTTTTTCTTTCATCATGCTTTGTATAACAATGACTAACGTTAGGCTATTTATTTATACATTCACATACTGATGATTGGCCTTGTAGCATTTGAAGTATTGATCTGAGATAAATGGCCTGTATATCAAAGCACTAGCTGAGTTTTCTTGCAGACCGTTGGCAATATTGGTATCTTAAAGACATGGTAATTGTGCTTAGTGTGTTCATTGCATATCTTTAATATACCTTCTGGTTCTGTCTTAACATTTGTATTAAATAAGGGCTTAATTATATTGAACAACAAGATTAAACATTACTCATGTATAAGCTGCTACACTGAAACTGCAATAGGAAACCTATTTAAAGACTTTGTGCTTCAATGTGATGTTGATTCACCCACATATTGATGAGTTTTCTGTTTTGAAATCACCTTCCCAGAAAGGACGTCAAATACAGGCCACTCTCTACATGACAGTCTTTTTGTTTTTGCTGACTGAGTACTAAAAGTTGTACTCTGAGTCTAACAGATGGCTTGTTTTCTTTTGTATAAGATTACATAAAGCCATTACAAGTAAACAAGACATATGTTCCCTTGCTGTATATTGCCTTGTTAACTATTTACCGTCATGCATAACTGCCCTCTCAGTTTGTACAGTCTTTGAGAACAGCTTGTTATTTTGTCTGACTGCTCATGTGACTCCAGTGGAGGGAGGGAGTGCCCGGCTGTACTGTAACTCTATTGGTAAGACTGTTGAGTAGGAGGGGACTCAGCAGTGTTACTGGGGGATTCCATGGTTTGTCTGTGCAGCTGGACCTCCATATCCATATCTTGGTTTGATCACCAAATGTTACTCCTTAGGCTTGGACAGCTCTCTTTTTGTATCAGTTTATACTTTGTTAACACTTGTACTTGGGTTTGCATTCATTTCCAATGGAGACATGTTCATCTTAAAAGAATTGTAGTCATGAGTGACTAAATGTAGTATTTCTGACTTATGAGAGATGTGGAGAGTGGTAGTTTTATCAGGGAATTATGCTCCATATATTAGGTTATTTTTCACATCACTTTTTTCCACTTCATTGAAATGGAGAACTGTGAACAATTAGCCTCTTTTCTTTTTTTTAAACAACCAGAAAATAATATTGTCTTTGTGTGCTAACCCTTGAGTTTCACTTCTGCACTTGTAATGCATATTTAAATAAATGATTTCCCCTAGGGTATTTATTCTTTGTCTTTTGCTTTTTGACTTGCTGGTTGGTTTTGAAATTGTGCCAGATTTAGAGCTATGCTTGGCTTATGCGACTTAGCCTTTTGAGCTAATAGGCTTAAGTGTGTTATCTTCATGACATTTATAAAACAGTTAGGGTAAATAGCCACAATCCTCAGTTTCGGAATTGTAGTTCTCACTTTACAGATATTTCTTGGGGCAGGGCTTTACGGCAATTGGTTTATTTGAGAAAGGTTAGCATAGGGAGATGGCTGACTGAAAAAGTGAATTTGTTATCGAAAAGTGAATTTAACTTAAATGGCATATCTGCCGTTCAGAAATGATCCTCCGTTTTAAAACATTTCAGTTCTATCTCTATGCCACATCTAAGTCGTTCTTGCTTAACACATTTGGTAGCTCACTTAACAAAACACTGGTTGTGTCTTAAAAAAACAAACACTGCTTGTCTTCATTTGCAAAACATCTTAAACTCATCTGACAAGGTTTTGATTGATTGCTTGATTTGTTTTTGTCCTCCTATGCAGAGTTGTTTTTAAAATCAAACTTGTCAAGCGCGGACACAGTTGATAAAGAACTTTAAACAAATTCTTCTTTCTGTTGATTGAGGCAGAATGCCAGCCTTGAATTTACTCATATCTTCATCACACCAGGAAGATTAATAAAAAAGGAGTGGCAGAAACATAGTTTACTGTCAGTGAAGAATCAGAATACCTTTATTAGTCCCACAGAGGGGAAATGCACAGTTACAGCAGAAAAAGAGCCACAGACAGCTTAAAGGTGGGGTAGGTAATTTTGGAGAAACCAGCTCGAGTGCGCTAGAATTTGAAAATACACAGACGGAAGAAATCTGCTACTTCCTTACAGAGCCCCTCCTCCAACACACACGAACACGCACATGCTGACAGGCAGCTAGGCCATCCAGTTATTTTAGCCGGGCCGGCTCAGATGATTGGTCGTGCTTTTTACAGCGCCACGGCTTCCACAGATGACATTTTTTTTGAATGGATTTTTTGTCAAATCACTTATATTATATATATATATATATTCATTGCTATCGGGATGTTAAAAGCATTCCATGGAATATAACACAAAGTGTATCTCGAGCAGGTTTCTCAAACTTACCTACCCCACCTTTTAATGTTACATGCATTCAAAAGTATTAAAGTTACAAAAAAAGTTAGGATGTAATACAAATAAAAAGTTACACAATTTACAAAATACTCATCGTGTAACAGTTCTTAGGATTTAGCAGCCAGGTATAGATATTGCACAGTTATTAACGATATATAGATATAGAGATATATCTCTATATCACATAGTTGGTTGGTAGCAAGGCTTTCCAGCAATTGAGACTTTTTCAGATTTAAATAACTTGTTCAAATACCTATTCTAGATAAATTGGCAACAGGTCAACTGAAACCAATCGATGCAGTGCCTTCAAAAGGAATAAATAAAATGGTTTATTAGACTTTATCTTTTAAGCACCAATTCCATATCCAGGAAATGGTTGTGTCCAGCGTCTGCCTTCTCTAAACTGTACAACATTTGACTCTTATTTACTTTGCAGCTGCTGCCACCCCCCTGCTAGGCACTGAGCAGTGTGCCCGCGGCACCTCCTACTGGTGTCAGAATGTAAAGACTGCCTCTCTGTGCGGAGCTGTGGCTCACTGCCAGCAGAATGTGTGGAACAAGCCCCAGATGGTGAGACTCGTAAATATTTTCCTATGTAAACTGAGAAAGTGCCATTTATAATCTTGTACTTCATCTGCAAATACATGAACAATGTACCACTTTTGTAAAAAATATTGAATCAATTGTGTGGTTTCAGAAATCAGTGCCATGTGACCTGTGCAAAGAGGTGTTGATGGTGGTGGAGCAGATACTGAAGGACAATGCCACTGAGGTAAGATAAAAACGAAACTCCTGTTGGATGAAAACCCCTTTTTAGTGGGGAAATGACTTCTATTTCAAACCTAAACAGTCCTTTGGAAAACTGATGTCCGTGTATTTTGCTATTGCAGTCTGAGGTTCTTGGGTACCTGGAGAAGGCCTGCCAGCTCATCCCTGATCAAGGTTTGACCGCAGAGTGCAAGGAGATGGTGGATAGCTACTACCCCATCCTCATGGGAATCATTAAAGGAGAACTGGTGAGCACCCTCAATCTATTTGTACTAGTTTTGGCCATGGATAGATGTCTAACAACAAAAGTAACAGTATAGACTCTCCATTTTAAGGATGCCATGTTAGATCTTATTGAAGGTTGTGGTTTGATCTAAGACTCTTGAATGAAGGGTCCATCTGCCCCTTTGTGCAGACAATGTAAAGGGAAGTGGCTGTGAGCGAAGCGTAGCGAGCTGAATCGGGGCTATTGATAGGGAAGTGAGTCCAAGTCTATACAGGAACAGAGAAGTCATTGTGTAAGACTAACGCTCGTGACTGGGAGCATCTGATGTCATCGCTTTGTCTCAACTCTCACCTGCTACATCAACTTTGGAAATTAAAGAGACGGTTCATTACAGATTCTACAAAACAAGACGTGGCCATGACTATAAATATAAATTGGAGCTTCTTTTTTTTTAAAAACTCATCTTCCTGCCTGCCATACAGACTTTTTAGCTAGAGTCATTGGGGTTAATTTTTCTTCTACTGCTAGGGATGCGCAGTATATATCGGACACATGACAGGAAATGTATTATGTATCGAAATGTAAGCTTATCAATGAAAATATTCTTTCTCTACTGTGTCGATCATTTGTGGGTTAGCGTCTAATTTAACTATACAAATGTAAAATGATGGGTAATCTGATCCATGAAAGCAGCTATTTATTTATTTTGCTCATCCATAAACCTTATCCTGCATTGCTACTTACAGCCTACATTTATACCAGATTATTTGAAGGAAGCACTAAACTATAAAGTGAAGGTATAAATGTGGCAGTTCTTGGAGTAACTTAAAGGTTTCTGTTTTAGGAGGACCCCAGTGTTGCGTGTGGAGCCATTGGGCTGTGCCAGTCTCAGCAGCTAGCCCTCGCTAAGGTCCATTCCAAGGAACAGCTGGTGTCCAATGAGATCCCTCTGGTGGACCTGGCTCAGAAAGTGTCTCCATTCCTGCTCAATATCCCCGGGCTCCTCTATCCTCAGGAGAACCTCAAGAAGGAGGCCCCCAAAAAAGAGACCCCAAAGCTGGTACACAACTAACGGCCGGATCTACATGAACACGGGAATATGTTCCTCGTGTGTTATTGATGAAATCCTAATTTTGCTCTGGATCTAACCCTCCCTGTAGGAAAGTGATGCTGTGTGCCAGGACTGTGTCAAGTTCATGACTGACGCTCAAGCAGAAGCCAAGAACAGCTCCACATTTGTCGACTCTCTGATCGAGAATCTTGAGAACCAGTGTGACCTGCTGGGACCCGGCGTTTCTGACATGGTGAGAGTGGAGGACATTTTGTTTTTGTCTTTGTGAAACAATAAAACAATGCTGTTTATTAACATTCTTTTTCTTTATTGCAGTGCAAGCAGTATGTGAGCCAGTATGCCGCGTCTGTTATTCAGGCGATCATGTCAATGGTGAGTTGAACCGTCCTCCTTATGTGTCGGTCTGATTTTAGAAGTCCAGAGAAACACTTCTACATTTTTCAAACATAAATTGTCTTCATATTCTCGTATGGCAAGCGTAATCATCAAACTAATAAATGTGATAATTTGTACGTTTCTTTAGTGCTAAGCCCATATTCAGTCTTGCAGCCCCACCTGAGCTGTTGCCTTACATTTATTCCCATCTTTAAATCACTTTCTTCTTTTTTTCTTTCCCGTGTTCCTTCTTTACTCTTCCCCCTTTCCATTCCGCTCTGTTTTCTCTGGGTTTTGCCGCTCCTCAGGAACAGGTAGGTTCTCTCTGCGTTCGGCCTGTAGCCTCTTAACCCTTAGCTGTGTCTTTTGCCACTGTCCACTCTAACCCTGTAGAGATGCATGAACATGATCATCTAATTAAGAGTCAGACTACTTGACTTAGCCACACAAGCAAAGTATTGAGGTTAATAACTTGACACGTAATTGTAAGGACTGCATTAAAACTCGCCTGTGTCCTCTCACATGACCGTTCAGTACTGTGGGATTTCAAATATGTTGAATTTCATGGTTTACGACACCATTGCACTTTACTAACATTGCAGTAGCTATCCCCGTTATAAAAGCCACCATCTTTGTTGTGCTGTATGTAGCGGCTCAATGCTGGCTGGTCTTGTATGATGCCTTAGATCTGCAGAAGTAAAAACATTTTTTGTCTGAATGGGTGTGTTTCTTTTGTTTTGGTTATTGATAAAAGTGAGATGTGTTTGGATTTCTATTCTGGTACCATTTTGCATGGGTAGCATGTTGTGGAATGCGGTTCACGGAAATAGTTAATGCTAACGCCATGCAAAATGGCAGGTTTTGTATACCATTGTCTGTGTAAGTTAACTTTTTGTTTGTGTCCATAGCAACCTAAGGATCTCTGCGCCCACGCTGGCTTCTGCACCGCCATGAAGAAGTCCATTCCCATGATGAACCTGCAGGCTGCAAAGATGGTTCCTGCTATGGAGACTGTCCCTGCTGCCAAGACTGTCCCTGCTGTCAAGATTGTCCATGCTGTCAGGCTTTTCCCTGCCACCAAGGTCGAGTCTAAGGTAAGTCATTGCGGGCGCCTGACAGCTGATTTCTATTATTTTTTTATTTTTTCCTCATTCTACATTCAAACAAAACATAAAGTATCTTCTTTGTGTTTCCAGCCTGCCATGGTGCGTGTCCGTGACTCCCCAGGGTGTACCATCTGTGAGATGGTGATGAAACAGTTGGAGGCTCTGCTGGAGGATCAGAAAACAGAGGTGGGCTGTTTGCTGCTAGATCCATCCAATATGTACTTAACTTCTTCCATGATGCAGTGAGTCAGACTCAGCTCTGGGGCCATGCTAACTCTTGTGTCTCTCTCAGGAGGAGGTGATTGCTGCTGTGGAGAAGGTGTGCACGTATCTGCCCGGCTCCCTGTCGGCCCAGTGTAAGGACCTGGTGGAGACCTACGGCCAGGCCATCATCGAGCTGCTGGTGCAGCAGGCCGACCCCAAGACTGTCTGCACCGTGCTGGCCCTCTGCAATGATGCCAGCCGGGCTTTTGTCCGTAAGTTCTGAGCCTTCAAACTAACTTAATGAGAATGTTCGCTTTACTGACGAAAGGGATTTTGTACACTTTAAATGGTAGACTGGTTACATATTTCATGTTTGTATTTGTGCTGATAGTGGAGGAACAAGATTACACAGGAAGTGAATGTTATGTAGAGAAATTAGGTTCAAAATGTGCTGATATTTTCCAAAAAACAACATTTTTCATTTCTAGTAAACCTTTATTTATCCAGATTGTACCTTGAGATCATAGATCTCTTTTTCAAGGGAGACCTGCAGCAATTAAGTTCCACATAAAACAATGGAGGATATCATACAACATATCTACAAGCTACATTTACATACTTATCAACATTTACAAATACCCATAGTTTCAAAGAGCATTTCACTTAGACTTGCTTTAAAAACATTCAGAGGAATAAAATTGCTCGTTTCAGTTTTAGCTGTAGACTGTTCCAAGCAAGTGGCGCTGCGCACATAAAAGCTGTCTTACCTAAGACAGTCCTTGCTCTTGGCACATCTAACAACACTACGTCAAGTGATCTCAGACAATAGCTGCTTGCAACTCTCTGTGTTATCAGAGAGCAGATGTAATACGGGAGTTTACCCAACATGGCTTTATAAATAAACGTGTACCAATGACTGAGCCTCCGTACAGTAAGTGATGGCAAACATGCCTTGGTATACAGTGTACAGTGATGTGTAAGTGCTTTACAATTTGTGACAAATCTCAGTGCGCTGTGATAGGCGGCATCTAACTTGTTCAGGCAATGGGCAGGTGCATTCATATACAAAAGATCACCATAGGTGATAGGCATAGGCATAGGCACAGGTAAAAAGGTCACAGTGACTAGCCTTTTTCTGGCTTCAAAAGAGAAATAGGACTTGTTTCTGAAAAAGAAACCTAGTCTAACCCTCAGCTTTTTAAGCAGGTTATTGACATGAAGTACTTTTCTTCTTCTAACTTTCTTTATTTGATTGATTAACTACTATGGAATTTATTCAACTACATTGTACCATTATTATGTTAGGACTCCTAGCCTACATTGTTCTATATAGAGTCCATTCTGTAGATATGCTTTTTGATTTCTTTTATCATGGCTATACTTAGTAAAGTTTTGGTTTTGAAAATTATCTGTCATTGTCCTTCATGTCCTTGCCATGCAATTGTAGACATAATCCATTTGACACGCTTTAGAATTAACAATCATAAACTTCTTATTGAATATGGTCGATACACAAATACTCCTGTAAATGACAGGTTGTGCAAACATTGCCATGAGATTGAGGATGAAAATCATTTCCTCCTAGAATGTAAACGTCATTATAAAACTTTTGATAATGTCAATTCAATCTTTAATCCAGAACTTCCTAACCAAATAAAATGTCTTTAGTTGATATATCCATTAATAATAATAATAATAATAATTGTAAAGTATATAATGCTAAGAAGAAAGGGCTGTACCCGTCACATTTACCCACCTTTCATTTATTGGTTCAACCAAAGAGGTGCGTTTCACATCCTTCATGGCAACCAGTGCTGTTCTCAATACAGCTTTTTCTAACACCACAATGACGAATTCCCTGTGTGAACATATGCAATCCAAGTCGTCTGTGGACAGTTTATTTTCAAGCTCTTCAAGCTCATGACAACACATGTTCATAAGAGGATTGTCCATGGCTACACACCGATCGCAAGTACACCATTCATGTACAGGTTTCCCAACTCGTCCCCCGAAATCAATTGCACGAATAAAGGGATCGTCTCCAGCAAGATCACCGTGCTGTTCATCCTCATCGTCACTGGATTCCTGACGGTTCTGGCCACTTGGCTCGAACCTGTATGGCTGAATTCCCCCATCCAATCTCTCCACATTGCTCAGAACTTCTTCCTCGGCTGACGAGTCCGAACTCAAATACTCCGCCATGTTTTCGTGTGTTTACAAAGTGAACGCACAGATGACGTCACAACCTAGTTTTTCGGATCACGTGACTACTGAAATTTGCCAAAATGGCAGCTGCCTGACGGAATATACAGGTTTTGATCAAAAAGAGCTATAAAATCATTATTTACCGGGGAATATCGCTGATTTCTTCAGGGTATGGTTTAAACATAATGTTTCACTAAATACTGAAGTTTTTATAAAATATCTAATGAGTGGAGCATTCCTTTAAACACAGTAAAAGTCGGTGTTCATCTGACGAAAGAGGATGACTCATTACAACAAATAACGATAGCTAACCCTGAATGATTTTGGCTAACTTCCCAACTCTGTAGCACAATATTGTTTGTTAAAACCATAGACTGGGTTAAAACTTACCTTCTAATGTCCTCAGACTCTCGAAAATGATTTCTTCCCGCTTCGTTCCATGACCCATGACGTCGGTCTGACGTCTCTGTGGCAAACTGCGCATGCGTAGTCGCCCACGTGTGTTCAAAGAGAGCTGCTCACTCGTACTTTAAAGTAACGGTTACTTCAAGCTGATGAGTTAAATAACTTCTCTCACAAGAAAGTAATGATCTTAGTGTAAATTTAACCACGTTAAAAAGGTTTGGAGTGTAACCAAAGAGTATTGTCGTAGAGACTTTCATACACATAATGAGATACAGATTTGCCGAACAACCTCGAGGACGGGGGGGGAAGACACCTGGGGTCACGGCAGACGGCTCTGTCGCTCTGTCGCTCTGTGTCTTTGGTCGGGCTCGTGTGCGGTGGCGTCGGACCGGAACCCTCAAATACACACACCGAGTCCGGTCGAGTGTGACAGCGAGGAGCGTCGTCGCTCGGAGCGTTGCAGGGGGGCGGCTCACACACACACTCCTTCTGAATTGCATTGACGCCTGCATTGGCATTGCAATGAAACGCAATGCAGTGCTATGGTTTATGCAGATGCGTAGTCATCTTTATTCTGTTGTTAGCAGGTATGTTAGTCTTTAAAGGGTTTTAATGTGACATTTAACATTTTATCACGGGGAATGAAATTTGTTTTTATCACTGTAGTGGACTATAGATGTAATAAACAAATTGAATTGAGTTATGTTG